GCGATATTGAAATATGGGGAATTCCGTACAATGCAATCATTGATTCGGGAGCTGCTGTTTTGGCCATCTCAGAGAGCAGGTAGGAAAAACGACCTGATCATGCTTACAGAGAAGGATCAGCTCATTTCGGCAGACGAAGAAACATTAAAACATTAGGAAGAATGACCAATGTCGCTTTCCGATTAGGAAAGGTGCACGCACTGGGAGATGTCGTGGTGCTAGATGTAAATACCTACGACGTTCTTTTTGGACTTCCCGCCCTTGTGGCATTACGAGTGAACCTGGATTTCGAACGACGGTCAATCATCCGCCGAAATACGGGAGGAAAGCCCTATGTTGTACCTATGAGACTGAATCTTCGTACTACTAGCAACACAGTCCCGTGAGTCTCGCCGATGATAGCAGGGACTCTTCGTATGATCACTTGGGAAGACTCCGCAGACGATGAGTCGTCATCGAAGGACGCGGATAGCAGTGACGAAAATGATCCAGAAATCGTGAAGCTAGCACGACAGCGTATTTATTACCTGCCGCCCAGGACGATCCCAAGAACGATGCATCTAACCAGTAGGAACATCCAAAGGACCAAGGCGATGATCTTTGGAGAACCCCTCGTATAGATTTCGAGGATGGTCGATTCCTTGGAACCCCCTCAAACCCTGTACGAAGGAATCCCCCCTCTCCTCGCCCGATATAACGACAAAAAACACTACTACGACATCACGGATCTACCAAGGTCCCTGCTGACACCTGCAAAAGAAGTACGATTGCTACGCTTGGGGGCGGAAGCCAGTTCTTTGGAACCCCCTGGGCGTCTTGAGGTTGAATCAGATGAACTCGGAGTAAAGATTGCAACTAAAATCGTACCGTGGCAGGATATCTGAGATGGGATCACCCCGGAAGGACACGTGGCCATCCGGGAGGAAGACGCCCAGATGATGGTCACGGTGTTCTCCTGGCGATCGGACCATTCGTTCAACTCTGCGCCACCACCCGATGTGGCGAAACAGGCACGCACGAAGCAGATCGACGTACGGATCTGGGACCACCTATTTGAGTTACACGTCCCACAGTACGTACCTGACGAAATTCACCGGGTGATTGCGGATATTTTGACGGAATATCAGGGAGTGATTAGCATAACCGATACTGACATTGGCTTGTCGTTGGTTATCCAACACGAAATTCAGACGGGAAATTATTCCCCAATCCACTGCAAGCCCTACCGATACTCCCAGATAGAACGAAAAAAGGCTCTCGAACGAATACGGGAATTCGAAGCAAGCGGGTGGATTGAACCCACCACCGGACCATGGTCATTTCCAGTAGTGTTAGTACCGAAGAAGAACGGATCGATTTGCATATGCATCGATTACTGCAAACTGAATGAAATCACGATTAAAGATGTGTATCCCCTCCCCCGGATTGATGATTTGCTGGATGCGATTGGATGCGCTAATTATTTCAGTAAGTTTGATATTCGCCATGACTCCCATCACATTCTGGTTAAGGAGGAAGATCGGCCAAAGACGGCCTTCGTGTTGTTTGAAGGCACGTTGTAGTGGGTTCGGTGTCCGATGGGAATTTGCAACGCGCCTGCCATGTTCCAGCGAGCGATGAACATGACATTCCAGAACTTCGTCAACAAGACGCGGCTAACTCAGGGAATGATCAACTTCTACGTGATCGTATACATGGATGATATCCTTGTCTACTTGGAGACCTATCATGGGCATGCACAACACATTGAGTGGACGCTGGGAGCGTTGAGGGACGCTGGGTTCAAGATCGCACTCGAAAAAAGCGAATTTTTCCTTTTGGAAATTTCGTTCTTGGGCTACGTCGTGACACGTGGAGGATTGCGGCCTGACTCGAGAAAGGTCGCGGCGGTGAGAGAAGCCCCGGTTCCCACGTCACTGACGCAGGTTCGAGCCTTCTTGGGGTTGGCCTCGTACTATCGTCGTTTCATCAAAGGCTTCGCCGCGATTGCACGACCGCTAACGAATCTGTTACGAAAGGACCAGCCTCTTAGTTGGGACGCGGAGTGTGAGCAGGCCTTCGCGACCCTCAAAGACGCTCTGGCGACGACACCTATTTTGATCAAACCGGACCCCTCGAAACAGTTCATTCTTATCACGGATTGGCAACCGAAAGCGATTTCCGTTATTCTAGCGTAGAAGGGGAACGATGGTCGCGAACATGTCATCGAGTATGCGTCGCGCACGGTGCTAGACGAGAGGAGGAATGACTCAGCACCCCAAGGCGAATGCTATGCAGTACTAGTCTGGGGAATCCAGCACTTCCATCCGTATCTCTATGGGCAGAAGTTCCGCCTCGTAACGGATCATGAACCCCTGCTGGCATTGAAGAAACTCACTAATTACACGGGCATGATTGGGCGTTGGGTGGTACGACTACAGGAGTACGACTTCGACATCATCCACCGGAAGACAGAGGGGCACGACAACGCGGACGGACTGATACGTCTGCATCGGCCCGCTAAAGTACCAAAGGGCGAAGAAATCACTCCGTGGAAGGAATTGGAACCAACAAACGGGCCTAAGTACGGAGAAGTGGCAGTTCTCCCGTGTGGCAAGAAGCAGACCGGTGGCAATGGGTGACAGAGGTAACCTCACTACCCCTCTTTCTCACATCTCCTCTTCGTCTCTTCTCTCCCTTCCTGATAAATTTTGCTATTTTTGCGAAGCAATTTCTCGCGTATACTTTGTCTCCATGCGTCCTAACGGGGAAGGGTATGCGGAATGGATAGACTACCGACAGTGTGTCGCACGAGCCCATGACTCGTGCATCCAATACCGAAACGACAGTAAACCGTGGTTATGCCCCTTGTGTCGGGTTGACAAGATCCCGACCGAGGCTCGCTTTCTGGATGCCACATCAGAAGGGTTGGAAAAGACTCGGAAATTTCGAAGGGCCAAAGTATGGACCGACATCGCTTTGATTGCTACCTTAGTTGGTAACCCCCTCCAGGATTTCACCAAGGAAGATCGGAGGAGGGCTAACGAAAGGGCTCGGGATTATCGATGGATAGAGGGTAGGTTAGAAAAACGAAAAACGGACGGTTGTACCGCATCCGTTCATGAGGTATGACTGGGTGAAAACGGCACATGAGGAAACGACAACCCATTTTGCTGTATGAATTACAGAATCAGCAATCGACAAAAATGAGTGGTATTGGTCCAATATTCGTGACGATGTGAAATTCATCGTCGCAAGCTGTCAAGTCTGTGCTGCTGACAAGGCGCCGATCCAGCCACCAAGATCGATAGTTCCAACGGTAGTTGAGCGGCCGTTCTAGAGGGTGAGTATGGATACCACTGATATTGTGGTACCTCCTGGTCCTAATAGTTGTGAATACTCAGTCCTATTGGGTTTGTCGATCATTTTTCGAAATGGATCGAGGCCTACCCGTGTCGCACGCGGCAAGCCGCCGAAATCGCGCAGTATGTTAATCGTTTTCTCGGGATGCACCAGGATACGGAAGAGATCCTGAGCGATAATGGGGTAGAATTCAAAGGGGAACTATTGAGGAACCTGGTCATACACGGTGTCGCTGTGCGGAACACCACGCCCCACATGTCACAATCCAATGGGCTGGTAGAAAACGCCAACAGAGTGATAAAGACAACACTGCGACGAAACATCGCGGCACGGGATCCGAGGCCCTGGCCCGATATCGTCGACCACATCCTAGCGGTCCATCGCGGAACGCCCCACGAATCGATGGGCTTGAGCCCCTTCCAATTAAGGACTAATAGCGTCGCTTGTGTATCGATACCAAGCCTCCCTGACGAATCAACGCTCAACCGTCAGCCCACAAGGGCCACAACGCGAGACAAGGCCAAGCGGCACCTAGAGTTAATGGAACGGTCCCTCCCCAGGCTAGCCCGAAAACTCCAAAAAATGATCGAGTTGACCCATGGCCGACAGGTCCGAAGCTACCAGGCCCGGAACGGGAATGCAGGTCTCGGCCCCAGTACAAATTGGGGGAAATTGTGCAGGTGAGGAAATGTGCTCGCCAGGGCAAGCTAGCGTCACGATTCTTCGGGCGATTCCACGTGATTGAGCTCGGACCAAACGGCGTGAACACCGCGCGGCTTGTGCCCCAGGTCTCCGGCAGCCGATCGGCTCGTCCGATCATCCGCCACGTGTCCTACCTTCGTCCCCTTCCTCCTTCCCCATCTTCGCATTCGCCCGATTCCTCCTTCGCTGCGGAAGAGGACGACGACTGCTTATCGCCCGTCTCTCCGTCTCCTTCTCGTTCTCTTTCTATTACTCTGTCTCCATCGCCATCGCCATGAGTTTTCTTACGGAGTGAGCTCTCGACAATCCTCTGCTGGTGTCACGGTGTCACATCTCGACGATTCGACAAGTTCATCATCCGCGGCTCAATCCAGCTCTTCGGCGACTTGCGCAGTTCTTCTGTACCCAGGGAGTGTACGCGGCTGCTGAGTTTCGTTTTGCAGGAAGTCCCCGGGCGGTTGTTTTAGCAGAGGCAGTAGGAGTCCATCGGCCATCGGCCCCGGGAATCAGCCACGTGTCTGCGGTGGTCGCCTTCAGTGGCGTCATCAGCACCATCGGCCCGCTGCGACATACAGCTATCAAGTCGTCGCTCCGGCTGTGGGCACAACAGTTGGCGGCGGAGTGGAATTGTTGGCTCACGCCCCACGGAGATGACCTTTTTCCCACGGATGACGTTGACTTCGACGGGGTCCGAACCTTCCAGCACGAGCCGACGGTGGTGCTCCCGGAACTCATCCCCTTCCCCCGTCCTCAATGAACCCATCCCCAATCTCCACTTTCGACCTCCCCTCCTTCTTTCCCACCTTCTGGCAGTCCGGAGTCCATCCGCATCTTTCCTTTCGACTGGAATCACTTGCTGTCCCCCTTCTCGATCCCCTGCAGTGGAGACGTTGGCGAGAACACTTCGCTGAGCTGTCGGTGTGTCTGGTCGGAGTAAGAGTCACGTGGACGCGGCACGGGGATCACCGCCAGTGGGCCGAGTACCTCGAACTGCTTATCATTTAGGCGTGGCGAACGGAAATGGAGGGCGATCTGTTCGGATTCCTCTTCGGATCGGTGCGGCCCGATCACCGCCAACCAATCGTGCACGAGTTAACGGTCCCCCTTGCGCAGCTGGCCTACGATCTCCCACTCGAGATCGTCTCGCAGAACGACGACAGCCCGGTTCTGCACGTCCTCATGCGAACCTTGGCGCCATATCTTCAGTGGTTGGCGTGCTTGGAGGAACCTGGAAGCGGTCGTAACCCACCGTCAAAACGCGATTATCTGGACCCGCACGAGATAGTCGACGTCGCCTTCTTCCAAGATCAGACGGCCTCCGAGAATGAGGAGGTAGAGATTGAAGCGGAAGAAGAAAGCTCGGAAGAAGAGGAAGAGGTCGAAGAAAGGTCCGACGAGGAAGTAACTCCCGAGGAAGGAAGTTACAGTGAGCACAGCGAAGGGGAGCAAAGTGAAGCGGAGGAGGAAGAAGAGCAAGACGGTGAAGAAGAAGAAGAAGACCAGGGGAAATTAGAGGAGTCGGAGTACGAAGGATTTGAGGAGGAAGTGCGTGACGAAGCTCGGGCGCAGGCCCAGGCGCAGAAGAGCGAAGAAATCGCGGCCGGGAAGAGACAGTTGGAATTCGCCAGCGCAGCCGGCCAGCCGCTCGCCGACGATCGGGCCCGGGATCCAGAGCCACCTAAGCCCGAGGATGGAGAGACAGCTGCCGAGACTTCGGCCGCATCAGCAAGACGGCGACGGAGCCGATCCCCCTCCCCCTCCACCTCCGACCGCCCACCAACTCGTCCACGTACCGATGCGGGGCATCGGGCTTCGTCCCCGGTCCTTATCCCGCCGTCCCCTTGATCACCTCTCCTTCTGCTAGATCACAACCCGCGTTACCTTCCCCGCCAATCCTTTCCCCATCGATACCTTCCGTTTTTTTTACACCACCCGTCTCGCTGTCACTGTTTATCCCCACCCTTCCACCCGATGTGCCCGCCCTGTCTTCTGCCTCCATATCCTTTTCCTTAGTGCCGCGTGGCGAGGCCACAAAATTATCGAGGTATACTGCATGATTACGGGGACTATCCCCTCATAAGAGAACCACGATCACTTTCGAGCGGCCCTCTTCCGAACCTTCACCACCCTCTACCCCGACTACCTCGCGTCCCTCCCCTACACAGGCAACCGATTCCCCCACTTCCACTGGATCGTTCGTTATCAGGAACTTCCGGAGACGGTGGCCGGAATGGAGAGCTTCCTTCCCCCGCTACCCATCAACCCTCCCCCTCGCCACCCCTCCATGTACCGTCTCCCCTTTCCCCTCCCCGACGCTCGCTGATGTATGACAGATGGGCACGCGTCATGACATCGACACGTGTAATCCCCTCCTTGGATTGTTGATGGCCCTCCCTGAGGAATTAGTAGTAGACTTGTGTTGCCACGATTGAATGACGTCCACACTCCTTCGAACGGTAAGTGGCATAGAAAGAAGAGTTCCTCGTGTCGATCGATTAGAGAGATCGACACGTGTCAACAAGCAAGCAAAAGCTTGCTAATATTGGAACCCCCTGGGCGTCACATATGTGACGAACCACTTTTTGTAGCGCGCAATTTTCTGCGTGGTTGCAATGAGGGGTCCTAAGCTGGGAAGGTTGGGCCAATTACGGGAGATTGGGATGGACGGGAAATTGCATCAGTACCCTCGCTTCTTCGTCTTTTGCGTCGATTTTTTTGGATGGCTTAGTTCGGAGCTGGGTGTGTCCCGGGACGGGTGATTGATTGGTCGGATGGCTGGCGCACCGCCAGGCGCACGATTCATAAATGTCGACGTCATTTCTTTTTGGTTCGGTTTCGGAACTTTTTGGGCGCGGACATCGTGCGGGAATTTGCTTCATTCTTTTTGAATTCTTTTTCGAATTTTGTCGAGCCCCGATGGCTCTCGCAATTTCGAACTTTCCTTCCAGAACCTGTACTTTTGCTTTTTCGCATTAGTTAGGAATTAGGAATTTTGTAATTAGGACTTTTGCCGCGCGACGCCTTTTTGCTTACGCGCTTCTTTATGCGGCTGCAACGAAATTCTGATAAGTCGGCGCCTTTAATCGGGTGTGTAACTGTAATTTTGGCTGGCGCCATTGTAACTGTATGTTTCTTCTTGCGCTTCGTCTTTCCCACCCTCCTCCTCTTTCTTTTGCCGCGTTTTTAGCTACGGACTGCATGCTCAGATCGATGCGTGGAGAGTGGCTACGCCCACCACGCCGCGGCCCGGTCATGCAGAACGCAGACACTCCCTCTCTAATCTCCCTCCTAAGTCCTGGTAATTCCGTGTTCTTCGCGCATGCATGCAAGCTATAAATTTTGCCTGCGCGATTAGTTAGCTCTCTTAACCAGCAGTTGGAAGCTCGGGGTTGCGTGATCAGAGAGGGTCGGCACACGAGCGAAGTAAGAGGTGAGTAGAGCAGGAGTCGGGCGACCCGACGAGCTGGTGCCAAACGCGCGGGGTTGACGCGGGCCATGACGGACTGTGGGCATGGGGGAAACTGACGGGTGCGGGAGGACTAAGCGGGGTGACGGCTTCGTGGGTGGGTGTGTGACGACGAACTGTCCCAATCGGAGAGAGAGCGAGAGGAAGAGGGAGTTGAGGTTGATGGACGCGGTTTTGTAGTTTCTTTTATCTTTTCTCCCTCCTGTCTCGTGTACATAAATTTTGATTTCGGCTCCGGGTGATTTGCCCGTTCTCTGTTTTTCGGAATCTGGACTTGGGTTTTTGTTCACACTTGTCTTCACGATTTCCATCTTAGATGCACTATGGGTGTATGTTGCTGAATGCACTGTGGGTGTATGTTGCTGAATGAATGGATGTATGGATGCCATGTTTGGTTGCTTGTCTTTCTACCGGATCCTTGCCTTTGCCTTTGTTTGTTGCCTTTGATGCACTCATGAGTAGGAATTTTGTGCAATCGGTAATCCCGTTCTCGTTTTTGCTCATCTTTTGATTGGACGGTAGTGCCTGTTGCATATTGCATACTCGACATTTACAGAGCGATTAGACACTCGGATGTCTGGCCTAGTGAATACCGCGCGAGGACGCGTGTAAGCGAGACTTGATCTGCGCATTTACACGTGCCCCCGTGTGTCGATTCGCCAATACAAGTGGCAAAAATACTGATACGACCATCCAAGGCCCGCGACGGAGCAATCATCCCGGGCGAACACGTATGAGCGCGACTTGATTCGCCCCAGCCTGCACGTGCTCACACGTGGTGATCGCAATCGCCACGGACCCGCCCGTAGGCAACTCATAACTTTGTGATAATACAATGACACGATTCTGGAATTCAGACTCATCATACGACCCAGATTACTTTACCCCTTGGATACACGAGATTCTCCGACAGAGATACCCTTGCCTAACCGAGAACCGACTGTGTCCTCGGGAATTTCACTGCGCCACCACTAGCGACCGCCAGTGCTCTGATTTCCCCTCTCCGGACCACACCTACTACTTCACCCACCCCGGATTTGTCGTTATCTCCACCAATTTTCCTTCCTTTCGCCTTCTTCTTCCATATCACCAACTCAGCGTCGTCTCGTGGCCGACCATAGCCTCATACTGGCCCAGTACGCCTTGCGGAAACTGCCGACGACGTGGCGATCAGAGGATCCCGGAATTTCGGAGGCCCAACCCAAACGCGTGACGACCGGCGCCACGTGGCAACTCTCGACAACCTGACTCATCGGAGCCCCACGTACCCCTTAGGGACCCTCCCGCAAACCGCCGTCCCCGAAACCAATGGCTCGCCCGACCCTGAGCAACCCATGCATACCATCAGCCTTGTGACCAGAGGTGGTCCGCCCTCTCCGCCAAATTGCACTCGTGCCCCCGAAAAACCCTGCCATAGGAGATTTCATTTCTGACCTGGGACTCCACCCCCACTTTCCCAAAAATCCTTGGCACACCCCTTTTCGCACTTCCAGGACCACATCCTACTCCGATCAGGAAGTCGCGCTGGGCGTGAGGTTAGGGTTTCACAACCCTACCAGTACCAAGGGCAACTTGGACCAGGCAGCAGTGACAAGCACCAAGGCTAGGCAATCTCCCAGTCCTAGCATGGCAAGGCAAGCTGGCACCCAATCATGAGAGTCCACCCAGCAGGAGAACCTAGGCAAGGCAAGCTGGCACCCACGGACACAACCCACCGTCCTTCCCCTAACTTACCATACGCTAGGTGGAACTCGGACTAGCCGGAGTGACTTATATCCCTACCCTACCCTAGAGTCTAAGCCATGCATGAGCAGACCCCATCATGTACCTGATACCCCCCCAGCCCGGTATCATAGTTGTATGTATATGCATGCCCAAAGGCTATGTAAGTATGAGCCCACAGGCTGTGTATCATGATATTCACAAGCCATGATTTTTGTGAATACCCGGAAGCTATGTGTGATGTTCAACCTTTGGGCAACTGAGTATGGGGAATTAGACGTAACTGAAGTTCCCCCACGTGGTTCCGATTTTAGTGAGAACTCGTCACCGTTGCGCGAAAAGGAAATAAACGCGCGCAATTTTCAAACACCCATTCAATCCAAAAAGTATCGTTGAACTTTGTCACGGGCTGCGGGCCGTATTTTAGAGTAGAAGGTTGAGGGTACTTACGTGGGATCTCGTTTTCGGATCAGATCCCGCCGTTGCTCGTTGCAGAGCTCGGAATCCGACGTGGAGGGCCCTAGCCTGGTTGCTCGTTCCTTGTTTCGTCTGCACCACGTGTTCAGTAGTGGAACCCCTTTTACCATTGTGCACGACGACAATCGTTGCACAAGGTGTTAGGCCAGTGGGGTGCTATTGCCATCCTCGGGATGACAAGCAACTCGTTAAAAGGCAATAGCAACGAGTACAGAGGGAAGTGGATATCGATAATTACAAAACCAACACCCACGAATCCAGAACACCTTGTCTCAAGTGGAAGTTAATAATACCCGCCGATCTTTGCAACGACTTCCCGTACGTCCCACTCGCAGAAACGTGTCCTTTCCTCGTTGTACGGAAATGGCCGCGATGGGGATGAGGGGAGTCGACACCCAGACAGATCGGAGCAATCGGTCCACATGGCACAGACAAATTCTAAGTACATGAATCTATCCAATCTCTGTTCAATCACGTAAGTAATCAATTATAATTCTACAGACTTTCTTGCATTTCCTCCATTCGGCGAACCGATAAAAAAAAAGGGGGTGAGTTCGATCCGAGCACAACGACAATCATCATTCATCACAGGAGCAATACGCATGCATAAAAAATCTTACATACATAAATTCTCCATTGACAGGTATATCAATCAACAGAAAAAGAAAGATTGACGAGATCTTTCAAAGGAGAGAGAGAGAGAGAGAGAGAGAGAGAGAGAGAGAAAGAGAGAGAGAGAGAGAGAGAGAGAGAGAGAGAGAGCATGATCGAAGAAGAGAACTGAAGAGCGAGAAAGAGAGCTCGGATCATACAAACAATCTTGAAAGAGACCACCCGACTATTCGCCATGGACTTAGCTTCCCGAGAACCAACAGAAGAAGAACCCGAAAATCAAGCTTTATGCTCTCTGGTAATCGCCCCTGACCATGCAACCACTCATGTACACCCACTCTTCTCACTTACGTACTTACGAGGTCCCGACTGCCATATACCGTCCTCCAAACCACAAGGGTTGTCTGCCCGCCAACTCAACTTTTGCGCCAACTTGCCAAGATCTCGAAGTTCATCGAGGCCACCTGGCGCACAACCATCCATACACTGAAGTCAGCTGGTCAGGACTTTCCGACTCGCTTCTTGCACATCACCCAGCCACGACTTCTGTAAAGTTGACAGATAGGCTGAGAGAGAGAGTCTTTCGGGGGCGTTTGCAGGATTTATAGTTGCAA